CTTTCTTTGTACTGGCCTCATGTATCTTTGTACATACTTTCCTTTTCGACCTTTCAGAAAATGCTTTGTCTTACATGGGCCATTTGTTCGGTTACAATATAAAGATGGGTCTAGCCTAGGGGACAGTCTGAATCTTTTGTATCATAGATGAGTTAACCCTCTTTCAACATTTATTGATACATCATGTGTTAGCCTTAGTTCTATCATGTCAATATCATATTATACTTTATGGTTTTCAAGAAGCATTCACTAAGTAGTCTGGTGTCTTTGTTGCTGTAATTCCTCTCAAACTTCAAGTTTCCATTTTTGCTCCAGTTTTTCCTTTTATAATGACAGCTTTAAATAATACCTCTAGTTTTCTATGATTTACCTTACTATAAACAATGAAAAAATTAGCACGCTTCTCTTCTTCCTTTCCTCTCCTCTTCTACCCAATTTGAGTCCCTCATATCTTTCTCAGAGGTGGTTTGCTTTGCTTTGCTTTTTTGTTTTTGTCAGTTTTGAGGAATGTCTTTTGACTCTCACCTGTTGCAGATGTAGCAATCAGGAAACACAGTCTACCTCTCACCCACTTCCCCCCGCCCCCCCACCCCCAGGCATCATGAGACTTGTCTGCAGAAACATCCGCCTGCATTTCCTAAAATGAGAATATTCTTCTACATAATCTCAATACTAGTTTAACAATAATTCTGTAATATCATGTAATATCAGTTATATGATTTATATGTCAGGACACATCATTATTATCCTTTTCAATCACTGTAATGTGTAGGATTATGTTAGCATTAGTCCACAGGAAATATGTTCACAGCTTGCTGCCAATATTTCTTCCAGAATATCCTCAATTATCTCTGAGTTGGCTGACATTCATCCTCTAGTAGTTTCTTCCAGAAAGGTTCATAGAATCAGGGCAACTGGGTGGCTCAGTTCATTGAGAGTTCAACTTCAGCTCAGGTCATGATCTCACAGTTCATGAGTTCGAGCCCCATGTCAGGCTCTGTGCTGACAGTGCAGAACCTGCTTGGGATTCTCGCTCTCTTTCAAATAAACTTGAAAAATAGAAAGAGCTTTCCTTCTCATTATTTGGGATTTCTGAAAATGAATCATCTCCCTTACTTTTCACACTATGAACACTCGGACTCTCAGACCTGGGTGTGCACACGAATCCCACTCACAGCAATGCAAACTGGGCTGATGCTTAACCTCTCTGAGCCTGACCCTCCTGATCTGGGAAAGGGTAGTAACAGTACCCGCATCACAAGGCTGTTGCAGGAACTGAAGAAGAAATGTGATTTATATCACAGTGTGTGTTACCGAGCCCGTGCACAGTAACTTCGGCTATCATTAATGTAATACAAAAGATCCTTCTGTTCCCCCAAATTTGATAGCATCAGAATAGGGGCAAAGAAGACATGGAGAAAATGATGGAGGTTGTCAGCTTCCTAGAAGAGATTTTTTTTTTTCCTTTTCTGTGCAAAGGCACTTTGCTGGGAGCAAACAGACTGGATGAGAGGGGGCGGTGAACAGTGGGGAGGGAGGCGTAGCCAGGGCAAGAAAGTGTGTTTTCCCAAAGGGAAAAGTCCACAATAGGAGTAGAACCTCGGGTTTTACGCAAGGAGGTGAGGAGCTGGTGAATTAGTGTCCAGTTTACAGTGTTAATGGGAGCTCTGTTCTTTCTATGTGCACAACCTGATCCACAGATACATCCCCAGGCTCTGGGTTGCTTTTAATGCATTTTTTAACAGATACTGATTGATTACGCCTCACCCCCTTGGACATCAGACAAATGTGTAGAAGATAATGTTTGGTATTTTTTGGATTCGGCGTCCGAAGTATGGTTGCACGTGTTAAAAAACCAAAGAATTATGGACACCTGGGTGGCTTAGTCAGTTAAATGTCTGACTTTGGCTCAGGTCATGATCTCCTGGTTTGTGAGTTTGAGCCCCACATTGGGATCAATGTGCCTGGGATTCTTACTTTGCCCACCTCCACCCCTGCTCTCTCTCTCTCTCAAAATAAATAAACTTTAAAATGTTTTGAAGATCATGGGGCACCTGGGTGGCTCAGTCAATTGAGCATCCGACTTTGGCTCAGGTCATGATCTCGCAGTTCGTGAGTTCAAGCCCCACATAGGGCTCACTGCTGTCAGCGGAGAGCCCAATTTGGACGCTCTGTTCCCCTCTCTATGCTTCTTCCCCATTTGTGCACTCGCTCTCTCTCTCTCTCTCAAAAAACAAACATTAAAAAAATTTTTTTTCTTAATATTTTAAAGATCTAACTGGGTTTATCAAGTGATTCATGAATTGGGCTGCACTCCAGGTAGCAAGTAGAGAACTTGTACAAAATGGAAGGTTTTCATAGGAAGGAGGTGAGGCAGGAAAGTTATTGGCAAAAGAAAAGAAAGGATTGTTTCAGGCAAGATTACGTTTCCTTCAGGAGAAGGACAGTGGAATCTTTTTATGCAGATACTTCATCATCCTTTAGGGGCTATGGGGGATGGAGAAGGCCCCTGTGACAGATTACTCATTGATGCTTATCAGAAAATTCCCCACTGATCATTTAAGACTACATTTCGGGGGGAGGTTGAAAACTGCAATTACGTTAGGTAGGAAGTCCCAGTTTGGTGACTTGGCCTGGCCCAAGTGACATTTTGGGCCTGTGGTCTTGGGCCTTTTGGTCAATGTGGGTGTTAATCCTAGTCTTGTGCAGTGCACAGCCTGCACAACTGCACATTGCAGTCCTGCTTGAGCTCAACCTTCTAGTGCTTCTGCTTTGCATTGTTACCATGTAGTCACCTATGGTCCCATATGGACCATAAAGTCCCTAAGGCAAGGAATATGGATTATAGCATTTATATACTCACGAAGTACCTGGCATTTAGTTGACGATCAATCATTCTCCCCATTACTCTGTTAAAGGGCCTCTTCTGTCCAGCTCCAGGGAGAGAAAGCAACCTTCTTTTGGGCTGCTCCTGACCCTGCAGGTACACCCAATCCAAGTTGCACACACACACACACACACACGCGCGCGCGTGCACGCACACACCATCAGCACCCAATACCCAATATCATACCTGCTTTCCCCTTGAGACCAGATTAACTTGAACACAAGGAAATCATTAATATCAGAGACTCTCAGAGGGAAGGGGGCTTTGTAGCCAGGGCACAGGGACACAAAAGCATCCGGCTCCAGGGGGTCCCAAACAGACCAGATTTGGCCACTGGCCACTGACAAAACCCAAAGGCAGAGAGATGAGTGGGGATTAAAACAAGAAAGGAATTTATTTCAGGGAGGCCAGCACTGGGAAGACAATGGACTGGCATCTCGAAACTCTCCAAAGTGCCAAAAATACTGCCAGGTTTCTGTGAGGAAAACGTGGGGCAAGCCCAGCGGGTACTGCAGGGAGGAAGTAGATAGTCAGGTCAGTCATTGCCTTGGGGTCGGTTATACAGGGTCTTGCTGGCTCTGGGCAGCCCTTATAGCTCAAGGGGGTAATTTCGGTTCCTTTCAGGGGATTTTTGCCCTCAGGGTCTTTTGCCTGAGTTAAGCGATAAGCTGGAAAGAAGAACTTGAATAGTTAGAAAGTTTGAGGTCAAAGAAGAGGTAATGGAAGTTCTCTGTGGCCCAGGGTCACTGTTCAGCAGCCTCTCAACACCAGGAAGCAGCTTTCTCATGCAGATGGTGCAAAGGTGCGGATCTGCCCATCTAGCCTTTGTCTGTGCGGGATTCCAGAGCCATTGCTGGAGAGAGCTCATTTTTAGGCGGCTCCTCATTCCAAGCCCAAATCTGCCCCCGACCCCCCACCACACAGCGGTTCACACCCTGGTCCCTGCTCTTGCCCACTGGGGTCCCGGACAAAAAGCCTAATCTCCTCTTCCAGCAAATAAGAAACTATGAGCCCCCACCCAGGCCTGTGGTTCCAACCCAAAAGAGTTGATTATTCTTCCAAAGACAGCTCCTTTGTCCCACACCGGTGCCAGGAGGGGGCGGGGGGGGGGGGCGGTGTTTGCCTCAGGGGCACACCTCTCTCCTTCTGCAGCTCGCCCGGAGCCTGGCTCCCAGCCTGAGACACACAGGCACAGAGCAAAAGTAGAGCAGTGCAGAAATCAGAAAGAAAAGCCTGTGCGTTCCTGCTTCCTTCTCAGCAAGTTGTCCAAGCAATGAGGCTCCCGAGGCTGCTGGCTGGGACTTCGGGGCACAAACAAATCTGAGCCAGGCTTCCCTGAGAGCTGCCTTTTAGGGGAAAAGCCCCTCTCCCCCAGGCTTCTTGAGAGCCCCTCGCCATCCCAGCAGGCTCTACCCCCTGGGACCTGTTCTGTCCAGGTTTGGGGATGCGATACAGGCTTCCCCAGGCACCTGTCAGCTTCCAGAAGAACCAGGGACTTATCCCCTCCTGGAAGCCAGCAGCACACCGGCCCTGCCTTGTCCCACAGCGCCTTGAGATATGCTACCTACGTCTGGGAAAGAAATGTGACGCTCAGCCATCTCACTACACGGCTTTGGGGGCAGATGGAGGTGACCCGCTGGGCATGGGGAGGGCGGCTTCCCTGAAGGAGAACTGAGGCATCAGAGCCTGAACAGGGAACAAGAAGGAGGTGGTGTGGATCAGCGCAGGCCGAGGATGGGTCCCCAGGGACAGAACATGTGGCATGTGCTCCGTGGGCAGTGAAGGAGAGAAAGGGTCCACTTGTCCCAGAGGCAGCCAAGCATTAAGGGGCAAGTGTAGGTGACACCCAGGAAGGTGCGGAGGTGCCAAAGTTGGAAGCAGGGAAGGTCAGGCAGATAAGGCTCTGGGTTCTTTCCCCTTTGGGGCCCCCGCCAGAGGACAGCACAGCCAGTTGCATAATCCTTCTGTTTGCCCAGAGCCATGTTTTGTCCTGAAGCTTGCTGCCCTGGGAGGTGACCGAAGAAGGCATCCGGCAAAGACCAGGCAGGGAAGGGAGTCAGCAGCGAACAAGGGGTGTGCCGGGTCCCCCAGCCTTTTGCTGCCACGCAGGAGAATGGAGCCCTACAATGTGACTGGCCCGCTCAACTTCACCCTCCCCCCCAACTTCGGCAAGCGGCCCACCGACAAGGCCCTGAGCGTCATCCTGGTGTTCTTGCTGCTCCTCATCATGCTCTCGCTGGGCTGCACCATGGAGTTCAGCAAGATCAAGGCCCACTTCTGGAAGCCCAAGGGGCTGGCCATCGCCCTGATAGCGCAGTATGGCATCATGCCCCTCACCGCCTTTGCATTGGGCAAGGCCTTCCAGCTCAATAACATTGAGGCGCTGGCCATCCTCGTCTGCGGCTGTTCGCCTGGGGGGACCCTGTCCAACGTCTTCAGTCTGGCCATGAAGGGGGACATGAACCTCAGGTAGGACCGGAGGTGAGGAGGGGGCAGCCTGGGCCGGGAAGCTGCATTGGAGATGTCACAGTCTAGGCGAAACCCTGGGCTAAGGCCAGGCTAGGGCGTGAGTGGGGGGCCGGGCGGATGCTAGGGCAGCCATTGTTGTCCAGAGTCGATGCGGGGCTGGAGACAGGTTCTGGGGTACATCTTGGCTTCAGCGCCAGGTCAAAGGGGCCCACCTGGTCCAGGGGCCTCCTGAAGACTCCCTCCCAGGTGGGCCACAAGGACTGTCTTGAAGGAGAAGGGATTTAAACCCGAGGGGCCCCTGGGAAGCTCTGTACCCTTCCCACGGCGGGCAAGTTGTGTTGAGCCCAGAGGTGTGAAAGGGATGGGGCCCAAGGTGGCGTAGAACCAAAGAGCACTTCCAATCCCTGCAGAACAGCAAAACGTTCCCAAGATCCTTCCAACTACCCAGGCAGAGAGGATGGCTTCTCGTAACTTCCCCGTGGGCCCATTGGGCACAGGAACACGTCCAGGCAAGGACACAGCCAGGCAGACCCCAGACCCCCGAGTCCCCCAACGCTGGCACAGGCCAGGCTGGGCCACATCTCAGCCCAAGTGGGAGGGGGAACGTCAGCAGTATCCTCTCGCCCAAAGCCTCCAAGCAGCAATCAGCAAAGGCTCGCCTCTGCAGGGGGCTGGCCAAACACCTGTCCTTCCAAATGGGAGGCACTCTGATCTAGAACACCTGCCCGAATGAAGCTACTTCATCCCCGGGCTCCGGCCCCAGCAGCAGCCCCTGCTGGCTGAGGGAAACGCATCAGCAGAAGCCCTTGCCTTTTTGTGAGCCTCAGTCTACAGCCTGCCTCCTCTGAGGTTCAGTCCTCAGTGGAAACCTTATTCCAGCCACTGCCAAACTCCAGTAAGCAAATCAGCCAGGCAAGGAGACCCGCTTGTGATGTGGAGTGAGACCACCGGCCCTTAAATGAAGAAACAAGAGTTGGTCCTTACCGGGACCCACCCCCTGAGCTCTGGGCTCTCCACCCACAAGACTCAGCCCTCACTGAGGTAGTTGATGGGAACAGAGGTGCAAGGAGGGGGCTCGGCTTGTACAGTCTTCCGTGGGAACACTCAGTGGGAAGACTTGTATCGCCTTCCATGGGACCCATGTTCAACTACTGGTGAGGACATTCTTCCCTCTGTCTGATCCAAATCCTCCCCGCTGCAAAGCAAGCCCTCAGCCTTCAGTCTGCCCTGTGGATGCGGCCCGTTGCAACCTCTGCATCCTAAGAAATCCACAATCTCTTGATTCCAGTGCAGAAGGGGTGCAGGAAGTCGGGGATCAGGGAAGAGGTGTTCTCAGGGTACTGGGAGCCTGCAGAAGCAGCAGAGCAAAGATCATGTAAAGGACGAGGAGACGTTTTTAAGCATAAGTGACCAGATGTCCCAGCCTCATCGACCAATGGGTGCCAGTGAGGTCTCTCCAGTGTGCCTGCATTTCTGAGGTTCGAGGACACCCCCCACCCCACCCCACCCCCAGCCTCAGTGACTCAGGAACATGAGCCTTCATGCTCACCTGCTCAGCCTCCTTCTCTGGGCCATTGGGGACTCTCACTTCTACCAAGATCCCACAAAGACGATGTTGGGATGGCCACCTTCTGCCATTAAGCCCCTTCAAACAGACAAACCTCCCATACACATTAAACCACGCCTCAGAGCCCAGTGGTGGACCATGTCTCATCAACTACCTTCACGTGTTGCCAGACTTTAAACTACAGTCTGAGTTCATCTGGGACAACTTGGTACATGTATTATAATGAAACAATACTAATAATAAAAAACAGCCAGGCACTGTACCAAGCACTTTACATGAAATCCCCATACAGCATCCCGTGAGGAGATGCTATAAATAATCCCATTTTATTTTATTTTTTTAATTTTTTTATGTCTTTATTTTATTTTGAGAGAGAGAGACAGGGAGCGAGCAGGCGAGGGGCAGAGAGAGAGGGAGACACAGAATCTGAAACATGCTCCAGGCTCTGAGCATCAGCACAGAGCCTGACGCGGGGCTCAAACCCACAGACTGTGAGACCATGACCTGAGCTGAAGTTGGACACTTAACTGACTGAGCCACCCAGGGGCCCCAATAATCCCATTTTAAAGATGAGGAAACTGAGGGACACCTGGGTGGCTCAATCAGTTAAGCATCTGACTTCAGATCAAGTCATGATCTCCCAGTTTGAGTTTGAGACCTGTGTCCAGCTCTGTGCTGTCAGCTCAGAGCCTGGAGCCTGCTGCAGGTTCTGTGTCTCCCTCTCTGCCCCTCCCCTGTTCATGCTCTGTCCTTTCTCTCTCTCTCTCTTTCTCAAAAATGAATAAACATTAAAAAAATAATATAATATGTACCCCAATGTTCATAGCAGCACTCTCCACAATAGCTAAAACATGGAAAGAGCCTAAGTGTCCATCAACAGATGAATGGATCAAGAAGATGTGGTTTATCTATACCATGGAATACTACATGGCAATGAGAAAGAATGAAATCTGGCCATGTGTAGCAACATGGATGGACCTTGAGGGTGTTATGCTGAGCGAAATAAGTCAGGCAGAGAAGGACAAATATCATATGTTTGCACGTATAGGAGGATTAGGAGGAACTTGACGAAGGAACAAGGGGGAGAAGAAGGGCGGAAATGGTGGGGGAAAGGGAGAGAGGCAAACCATGAGAGACTCTTGAATGCTGACAAAAACTGAGGACTGATGGATGTGGGGGGGAGGGGGGGATGGGCATGAAGGAGGGCACTTTGGGGATGAGCACTGAGTGTTATGTAGAAACTAATTTGACAATAAAATATTTGTAAAAAAAAAATAATAATATAATAAAGATGAGGAAACTGAGCCTAGGAAAGGTTAATACATTTGTCCAAGATCTGGGATACTCCAAATCCTGTACGTAGACTCAGATACCTATTCAAATACTAGGGGTGCTTGGGTGACTCAGCTGGTTGGTGTCCAACTCTTGATTTCCACTCAGGTCATGATTAGGTTGTGGGATCAAGCCCATGTTGGGCTCCATGCTGAGCCTGCTTGGGACAGACTCACACTCTCTCATCTTTCTCCTCTGCCCCTCCCCCTGCTCAGGTACTCTCTATAAAATAAAAAATTTTTTTTAAAAAGAATTTTTTAAAAGTACCTTCAGGGCCAGGTAAGTATACAAATGAACAAAGGGGCTGATGGACTTCCTAAACAGGGCAGACTCCGCGTGTCTCCTGTGGGTGGTCTGTGGGGGCAGGCAGCCACTGCCACCGATTCCAGAGAAGGCATTTTTAAGTGAATCTCCATTTTTAAGTAAAATCTCCACATTTTTCAATATTGGCAACTCATTAAAAAATTTTAAAACACCATGCAAGCCAAAAAAAAAATGTATGTTCAGGGACAGGCTATATAGCTCAAAGGCTACCAGTAGGAGACTTCTCTTTAAGCACAAAACCATTCGATTTTCCATTTAGAGTTGGGGGGTGTGGTTTAAGACCCTGATTGCACTTTATAGATGAGAAGCCACAGTCCAGAGACCTGCCAGAGGTTCCCCAGAATTTGTGGGAAAGCGTACAGGTGTCCAACAGCAGGGCGTGTGCAGGGCTCTGAGAACCCACACAGGAAGGAGAGAGAAAAAACTCCACGTGCTCCTTTCCGGCTGGCCCTCCGGCCCCCCAGGGACAGCCACGCCCATGATGTTCCTGAGGAACAGGCTCCAGTCTCGGAACTGGAGTCTGGACCAGTCATCTCCCCGCCTGTCTCTCAGGGTAAACTGAGGATCGCAACAGTCACAGACAGCAGCAAGGTAGGAGCAGCACTTGCACAGGAGTCACCTGGAGGTCTTGGAGCATGGTTTCCAAGGCACACCAGGAGGCACACCACGTCCCAGAGCAAATTCCAGAACTCCTGACTCAGCAGGCCAAAGTAAGCATGACTCCTCTGCTCAAGGACATCAAAACAAGCACACAAGTTGTGTGTGGCTGTTCTCCTAAGAAATCGATAGTAGCACTGTAGCCCCTGTGCGCCCCTCCCCAGTCCCGTGCCCCTCTAGCCACCCCCAGGGAGCACAGACCCTTCTGTACCATTACCACATACGGGCCACATACGGTACTTGTATATATCCATAAGCAAGATACGTGCTTGTACTTGTATGTTCTTAGAATTTGCATAAGCAGTACCATACTGCCCTTATCATTTGACAGCTTGTTTTTTTGAGATATAGGCATATGAATAGAATAGCTACTCTGTGCATTTGAACTGCTGTGTCGTTTGCCTGAATGTATCTGTTCTATGAGCAGATTTCATGTTCTGCTACTGTGGACAGTCTTGGACCCCATGCCCCTGTGCTCCCCTGTGAGAGTGTATATAATGAAAACAGGACTTCTTCAGCCCGCCTGGGTGGCTCAGTTGGTTAAGCGGCTGACTTCAGCTCAGGTCATGATCTTGCGGTTCGTGAGTTTGAGCCTCGTGTCGGGCTCTGTGCAGACAGCTCAGAGCCTGAAGCCTGTTTTGGATGCTGTGTCTCCCTCTCTCTCTGCCCCTCCCCTGTTCACACTCTGTCTCTCAAAAATAAATAAATATTTAAAAAAAAAACAGAACAGGACTTGTAAGTCATAGGGATCACACACCTACAAATGAGTCTCCAGAGTAGTCACTCTGGTTCACGCTTTCTCTCTTTTTTTAAATGTTTTATTTATTTCTGAGAGAGAGAGAGAGAGAGAGAGAGAGAGGCAGCGTGAGCAGGGGAGGGTCAGAGACAGAGGGAGACGCAGAATCGGAAGCAGGCTCCAGGCTCTGAGCTAGCTGTTAGTGCAGAGCCCAACGTGGGGCTCGAACCCACGAACCGCGAGATCACGACCTGAAACGAAGTCGGAGGCTTAACCGACTGAGCCACCCAGGCGCCCCAGTTCACGCTATCTGAAGTGGTGTAGGAAGATCCTTCTACCTCCTTGTCTTCACCGTATTCAGAGGTGTCAGACTTTTTAACTTTT